AAATTAATCGATCAAAAAATATATCCTATAAACAAAAAAGTTTTAATTATTGGGACAATTTTTTGAGTCAGTGTATGGCTTCATATTTTAAATCCATAACAAATAAACAAGAATGCAGGAAAATGTAAATTAGATTACAGACAATGTTATTAAGAAATTCCAATAACTTACCTTCCACCAATAAACCACAAATTATTAAATCATTACTTTTTACTCCATCATCAATACATTTGTCAATTATATCCTTCATTTCGTTGCCTAATTTTACAAAATCAGTCTTCCAAAGAGATTTCTTTTTCATTTGAATCGGCAGACTTTATTTCCGAAGTCAACAAATAGAATTTATTACCTCTAATAGGTAAATATACTGAAAAATCAGCTTTTCGTCCCTGTAAAATAGGGTCAAATTTACGTTTCCGATGTACAGACGCTTCCAAGACATCGGTTGACCTGAAAATAATCCGATAAAATTTTAATAAATCATTATAATTACAATATAAGATAAAGAAAAAAAAATTGTGTCAAAAAATTACCATTCACATTTAAAATTAATGTTGCGGAAAAATGGCCTGATCACGGGTTCAAAAATTTCATGTACAAAGAAATCTTCTTTTAAACCTTGCCTGTACACTTCCGGTTTAAAATTATTTATTCTATAATATAGAAACTATATTATGTTAAATAAGTAGCGATAAACAATTCTTAAGCCTTACAGATACTCACATTGACTCGAACGTTTCTAGAATTAAATCTTCTTGATCATCGTCAAGAGATCCTTTTGCCATTTTCTCAATAACGGCTTGCATTTTCTAAAATCTTCACTTGCAGTCTATTTAATAAATACGTTATTATGAATAATCACCATATTAAGACCATAGCAGAAAAGTCATACCTGTGCCATTTTATGACACCGTAAAACATCATCATTCGATAAATGATATGGAGCAAATTCATTTTTTGATAGTATCGAAAATAATGTTTAATGATTCCGATTCGATCATTGAAGAAACCCCAATCGTCACATTTTGTTCGAATAAAAATATATGATTCAATGAACTACAACAATAATGAGAAGCATTTTAAAAAAGGAACACAATCGAACGCCTAAAGGATTTGGAAATTTAGAACTTACAGTATTTCAGCAATCTCTTCAATCTTATTCTCAGAAGCTCGTTGAACTGACATATCACGATATTCTAGTAATAAATTCGAAACGTCGAGTGTGTCGATAATCCACTGAGTATATGAAGAAGAATTAAAATCTTTTCTAAATAAACTCAAATAAAAGTTTAAAAGTTACCTTTTTTGCACCCTCACTTAATGAAGATTTCATAACACCTGGTCCAGTAAACCAGTCATAGGTATAATTATTTATCTTCTTTTTTATCTCAATGAAAGTATCATCACCTGGTTCATCCGAACTGGGATGATAGGATTTATCTGAATCGTTCCCGTCAGGTGTTGTAAAAAGCCCATTCAAGTTGTTCTCTTCGGTTATTCCAGATGCAATAAAAAGGGTTGTTGGAGTCGTTTTCTATAAAATTTAAATTCTAGAAATAAATTTGTTAATTAAAATGAATAAATTCTCAATGCTTCAAATCCACAACACTAACCTTTGCCACACGTTTCGGGGGGGGGGCTTTCTTTTGCAACGTCTAGAAGTCGTTTCGTAATGCGGGTAGTTTTTGCACAAGTAGAGTCATTGGCATCAAGTTCTGGTTTTTTCTGGTCTTCTAGCAACTCATTTCCAACATATTCATTCTCATTTGAATACATAGTGTAGGTTTTTTCGCGACGACTTTCTGAGATTTGGATCAGACATATATCAGGTCAGTGTTAAATCATTGCAAAATTGATCAAGAAAAACCAACCCATAGGATCTTGTAACCTACCCTATGCCTTTTTTCAATGACACAAGACCAATCGGCTTTATCTTTAATTATCTGTATTTCATAATTGAAAAGAGTTAGAATGTGCTTATCAAGGCAAGAGACACAATATTGGCAATGTTGGGATGAAGGAATGCGCAATGTTGGGGATGAGGGATGCGCGACCTTGGGTAAGCGCAATGTACCTAACAACCGCAGTCAGTAAGCCCGACTGAAGCTTCCGACAACACCACTAGGGCGAGGGATGCGCGACTTTGGGTAAGCGCAATGTACCTAACTACCCGCAATCAGTATAGCCCGATGCGGATGCCCTAAACAGAAGTTGAGACATACTTTCCTTGGTACGTAAGATATTTGAAGCTAACTCGAAACGCTTTTTCCACGCACCCTCCAGTCCCAGAAGGTCACTCGAAAATGGAGATGATCTGGCTATGAAGTCAACATTCAAACGAACAAATTCTGACAAAGAAGGGATAACGTTCTGCTCCGTCGCCCACGCGAAATATGTCTTAAAGACTGAGAATTTGATATTGCATTGGTGAGTAAATGTAGAAAGTCGCGTCTGTTTTAGAAAACGTTAGTAAACAAATAGATTATTTTCATGGTACGTGACACAAGATAACCTTATATATAAGCAAACACATGACCAATTTTGGCGACGGCCGTCGCTGAAAAACACGTTACTGCGCCAGTGACATGTATGGAAAAGTTATTATTATACATCAATGTTACACTATAACGTAATGCGATATAAATCATGCAAACTTCTTTCTAAGTTCAGCGATCTGGTGAACTACCACTGGTCGAATGGAAAAAAATAGGACGGCTTTATCATGAATAGGATTCCGATTGATGGCTAAATTTGCTAAGATTTATAGCAGAGATTTTTTACCAAAAATAAATGACATGGGGTGCCGCTCATGCGTCACCCTTGCGTTACCTGTGCAGCATTACATTCGAGTGAAATTTCCGGATCACGAGGAAAAATGTAAAACGTGACTTAATCGCAGATCGTCACGCGAAAATCGCGAAATTATCAAAATTGCCGTGAGCCGTATTAATGTTTCGC